TAATCTGCATAAATATTAACAATAATAAATATCACATATAACATGGAGAAGAAAAGTTGAGACATCCAGGGCCCAAATGATGACATCGGAGGTCTTTGGTGGGAGCATGGCTGATAGCAGAGACACTTGGTAAACTTCCATAAATTTGGGTATTGCATTATATGCATTATTGTTGAAATCAGCACTGACCCTCCAATAAAGAAATCCTTAGGAGGTGGTGCAGCAGATGATAGCATGGGAATCCTCATATTTCTTGGCAACTGTAATGGTTTGGGTCTAGATGTCCCCTTAAAGCCTCATGTAGTTCTAGAGGGCCTTCTTTGGAGGCAGCTGAATCTAGAGTTTGTGACTGATTTGTAGTGCAATGCTGGGATTAAGGATGAGTGACTACTGGATCAGTTCACAGATTAAATTGGAACTGCTCTAATCCCAGCAGTCTAGATAAGAAAAAAGGCAGAATTAGGCTTTCTTTCCCCTTCTGCTCTTGTTGCTTTTTGTTGTCTTCCACCTACCTCATGGTTCCTCTGTGCCATGGCAACTGTTATGGTTTGGGTCTAGATGTCCGCCTAAAGCCTCATGTAGTTCTAGAAGGCCTTCTTTGGAGGCAGCTGAATCTAGACTTTGTAGTTCTATACCACTGTGAGCTAAATAAACCATTTCTCCTTTAACTTTGGTGTCTGGTGTTTTGTCTAAGCAAAAGAACTAAGAAAGTAACTAAGATAGACTTTCGTACCAGGAGTGGGGTTGCTGCTGTGACTGTACCTGACCATGTGGTTCAAGAGCCTTTGGGAATGGCTTATGGGAAGAGATTGAAAAGGTTCAGAGATGCTGGCTAAAAAAGGAGAGCTTGAACACCTTAAGCCGTTCTGTATGGGAGATTCTGGTTAGAGCTCAGAAGATCAAAAGGCTGATAGAAGTTCTGCCAGTAAAGGTCAGGCTCAGGAGGTTTATGCTGGGAAACCTCAGGACTGCATTGGCTGTTGGACTCCAGATGATTGGTGTTATGATCTGGCAGAAGGTTTGTCTGCATTTTGCTTATGTCCACAGACTTTGCCTGAGACTGAGATTTAGGGCAGAAGACTAATTAATCTGGCAGAAGATATTGCAGGGCAGTCCAATGTTGAGGCTGTGACATGGCTATTGGTGGGGGCTTTTAGCCAGTTATATGTTGAAAATCAAGAGCAAAGGCCCAGTAGAATGATTTAAAATGCTGTGAGTTTGTCCAGAAGGGAAGTCTTAACTTCCTGATGTGTGATTTCTCTTATATGAGAAACTCCAAGTATAAGTGATTTATTTATTTATTTTTTATATTTTTTTTATTTTTATTTATTATTTAGTGTGTGTGTGTGTGTGTGTGTGTGTGGCCAGCTCAGCCCACTAGGGGGCGGGGCTGGCTGGCATGTGGTGCTGGGGGATTGAACCGCGGTCCCTGTGCTTTGCTAAGTTTGTTCTAAGTAGGTGCTTTAGACCACTGAGCCATCTCACCAGCCCCAGTATAAGTGATTTAAAGAGTAAAATAAAACATATTTTTTTTTTGGTGGACTCAGCTCACCCTGAGGGTGGGGCGTTGGGGATTGAACCTCAGTCCCCTGTGCCTGCCTAAGCTTGCCTAAGGAGGTGCTTTAGACTGCTGAGCTATCTCACCAGCCCCTCATAAATGTTAAAAAAAAATGTAGATAGATCTCTTACAAATGAGAAAGGGAGCAAGAAATGGAGGACATAAGGAGGAGTAGGTAGGGGAAATAGAAAGAATTGAGATGTGTTGTATATCAATTCCCCAAAAAGAATGTAATCACACACTAATCAAAAATTTAAAAAAAAATTAAACATACAAACAAAACAACACAAAGATCAGAGAGCAGACATTTGTAGATACATGTGTTCCCTGTCTTTTGCCAAAGGATGCCTTGCGCCACCTGGAGACTTTGCCAGCAAGAAAGCCACTGCAGAACTGAGCAATACCAGTATCACACCTTTGAATCTCTCAGAGTTTGGGGTTCTAAATAAACCTCTTTTCTTTATAAAGTTAACTGCCTTAGGTACTTCATTATAGTAACACAATGCTGACTAATGTAGGGATTGAACTCAAACTCAGCTCAATATCTTCCCTCTCCAGAGATTGCCACAAGTTGAGGTAGGGCTTAGGGCTGAAAGTTCAACCTTGTGAACATGTAACTAGCCCAGCTAGTGACATCCTGAAACTATCTAGTGTCTTCCAGCCACTGGTCATCTCCTGAGCATAAGACACTCTTACCACTCTGGAGATTCCAAAGGTTTTAAGAGTCCTGGGCCAGGAACCAGGGACAAAGACAAAAAATGTCTTTCCTAGTACCATGGCCAGGGACCCACCGGATATGGTCCCTGCCTGCCAGTTTCCTAAGTGACAATCTGGCAGACTGTGCTGTCACACCCAGACTGGGTGAAGGGCTCCATCACAGGTGACACGGCAAGGCCCAGAGGGTTTCGTGTTGCTCCCAAATACCTTAGAGATGAGGATGGGCACCTGGGTCACATGTTTAAAGAGTGGTGTAGCTCAGATGTGAACCCAGGTGAGCAGTGGCAGAATCTGAGCCTTTGCAGGGGTGGCTTGGAGAAATTGAAGGCTAACTGTCCCCTAGGCTCGCTGTGCAAACACCAAGTCAGGTGTGCACTGTTTACAAGGGGGCAACTGGCGTACAGCAGGCCCTTCGTGAATACTTGCTGTGCTGAGGAAGGGCTGCCATGTCTTTCCCAGATGCTTGGGGAGGGGGCTGAGAATGAGCACAATGCCACCTACTGATCAGGGCTCCTGGCTGTCATTTGTGAAGTTTGGCATCAGCCCAGTATGAGTGGCAGAAGCCAGCAAAGGTGACTGACAGGCCTCACGCTCCTCAGAGGGAGAAGCTGGGGTAGGACTCAGGACCTTCACCCTGAGATATGTCTCCAGGATCTTTTTAATTTTTTTTCTTTTGATGCAACATCTCTCTAAGTCACTAAATTGCTCAGGCTCAGCTCGAATTTGCAATCCTCCTGCTTCAGCCTCCCAGAGTGTTGGAATCACAGGCATGCATCACCACACGGAGCTAGTCAGCCCATTTTGTAGCTGAGGAAACAGAGGCCCAGCAAGCAGATGTGTCCAGACAGGCAGGCTGGGCACCATTTGTAGCCAACTCCGCATGCCAGGGTGAGGTCTCTACATAGTTGCTGGGGTGAAAGGGGAGCCTGGAGAGGGCAGAACGGTTGTCAAAACTGTCCCCATTCCAGGCCCTGTGTAGCTAGGGAACATCAGGGTCACACACAGCAGTGTCCTCCTGGGCGCAGAGGTGAGGGGTTCAGGGTGTGGACTGTGGCACTTGAACTTGGCCCCTATTGTGGACCGCAAGCTACTCCCTCCGCTCCTCCCCTACCTCTGCCCTTTTTTCCTGTCTTCTTTCCTGGTTTCATTTTTTACTTTGCTTGTAATTTTTGCACTGGAGATGGAACCCAGGGCCTCACGGAACACTAGGCAAGTGTTCTACCACTGAGTTACATCCCCAGCCCTTTTAAAAAAATTTTTACTTTGGCTAGAGTGGTGGACTGTGCCTACAATCCCAGTACTTGAGAGGCTGAGGCAGAAGGACTGCTGCAAGTTCAAAGCCAGCCTAAGCTTTTTTTTTTTGGCGGAACTGGGGATTGAACTCAGGCCCTTGCTCTTGCTAGGGAAGTGCTTATTCTACTGAGCCATCTCCCCAGCCCCCAGTCTAAGCTTTGAGTTCAAGGCCGGCCTAAACTACACAGTGACGGGCTGGTGAGATGGCTCAGTGGTCTAAAGCACCTACTTAGAACAAGCTTAGTGAAGCACAGGGACCGCAATTCAATCCCCATCACCACATGCCAGCCAGCCCGCCCCCAGGCTTGCTGAGCTGGCCACACACACACACACAAATAAATAAATAAATAAAAATAAAAAAAACTATACAGTGAGACACTGTCTCATAAAACAAAATTAAACATCAAAATAAATACATAAAAACATTTACTTTGAAAGCTGCGCATGGTAGTGCACACTGGTGGTCTTCTTGGGATACAAGTCTGAGGCCAATCTGGGCTACATAATAAATTCAGGACTAGTCTGAGCTACACAACAAGAACTTGTCTCAAAAAACCCAAAATAGTAATAGTAACATTTTTATTTTGAGACAGAGGCTCTTTAAATTGCCCAGATTTTCCTTGCACTTGTGGTCCCCCTGCCTCAGACTCTTGCATAGCTAGGATTACAGGCATGCACCATCACATGTTTTTTTGCCAGGTGTGGTGGCACATGCCTGTGATTCCAGCACTCTGGGAGGCATAAGCAAGAGGAGCCACAATTTGAGTTTAGCCTGAGTGACATAGCAGTTTAGTAAGACACTGTCTCAAAATAAAAATAAATAAATCAAAAGGGCCAGGGACATAGCTCAGTGCAAAGGCCCTGACTTCAAACTCCAGTGTTCCCTGCCACACACACATGCACACACACACACACACACACACACACACACACACACACGCGCGTGCTCACATAGAAAACAGGGTGCTGCAGAACACAGAAGATGGAGTGATAGCCTCTGCCAAGGGACTCAAATAGAAAAGTCCCCCTCGAACCATATGAGGCAGGTGGCAGCCTTCCTCCACCCTGGTTCCCTACATCTACCCCCTAAGTGGTCCCATACCAACCCTGTCAGAGCCCCAGGCCCAGGATTGACTAGAAAGGGGGTACCTGGGGGGGGCACATTTGGTACTAAGAGTCATATAGCTAGAGGAGCTAAGCAGGAACTCCAGGCCAGGACAGATTCCATCACCCAGACAACCCACATATCTTGGGGAAAATTAAAAAAAAAAAAAAAAAAAAGCATCACCCCTTATTCGTGCCAGGACCTGCCCTGGGAATCCTCTACTCCTCCCTGTCCAGAATAGGTCCCCTTTCTCCAACGTCAACTTAGTTACCTCGAAGAGAAAAGGCAGGCAGGAGTTGCCCTGCCAGAGCCTCAGACACAGAGAAGATGCGTGGGGAGGTAGGTGAGGAGGATAGGGGTGGTGCAGACACCTGGAGCTGTTCTAGGAGGCTGAGACGCAGCCAACACAGCCCCCAAGGCAGAACACACCCTTGCCCAAGCTGCTGTAGTCACAGGTTATAGCAGGGTGACAGCAGGCCACAGTGAAGTCCAGAAGAGGACACAACTGGCCAAGGTGAACTGAGGGGTAAACTAGAAGTGGTGGTGGGAGCAGAAAACAGCTTTAGGCCAGGCGTACTGGTGCATGTTTACAATGCCGGCACTCAGGAGGCTAAGGCAGGAGGATGGCCTCCATTGAGGCCAGCCTGGATTATGTCCTAAGGACCTGTCTCAAAACAATAACAACAAAACAAACAACAACAACAACAAAATCCTAGTTTTGGAATCAGGCTGTGTGAGTTTGCAGGGCTCTGCTGTTGCTCAGCTGCATGCCCTTGGGCCAGTGTCTTGACCTCTTTGGGTATTGGCTTCCTCATCTACAAAGTTCCTCTCAGGTGATCAGGAAGAAGGAAATGGTTTCAGAAAAATCCATGGCAGTGCCTGGCTCATAGTAGGTGCACAGAACGTTTGAGCCTCTCCCTCCCCTGGGCGCCTGGGTGCCTTCTTGGGCTGTGCTGGAGAATAAGAACTGCGATGGCCAGGTGTTCCTCGCAGCCTGGACAGCTGCAGCGCTGGCCTCAGAGCCAGGGCCCAGGAGGAGACTCTCAGAAGGGAGCAAAGCATCTGGCCAGCTGTGGCCACGGGGGCCCAAGGTTGTGGGCCCTGCCCCTTGTCTGTTCTGTGCCACCCTGCAGCGGCTGGCACTCATGAGCAACTCTCCACCTAAGTCTACGTACACATCACCACCAGTGCTGCTGACCCCAAGGCCCTACGATTTAAGTCACAAGCTACCAAGTCTCCAGGTACTCCTCAGCTGCCCTCCCCTTGAGCCGTGACCCAGATTCAAAACTGTGTCCTGGGCTGGGATAGATAGTGTCCTAAGGACAGGATGCAGGGGGTCTTCTCCTTAGAAAAATCCCAGGGGCCACAGCTCTGAGCTCCTCAGCTGGGACCTCCCTTTTCAGCTGAGAGGAGCCCTGGGGGCCTGAGATCCAAGACACCCATATTGGCCTCCTCTGGACAGGTGCTGGCACAGGAGTGGGACAGGCCAGGTACTGAAGATTTGCTGCACTTCTGGGACAGACGCAGCCTGGATCCCTGGAATGATCCCATCACTCGCTGGAAAGCCCCTCAGGGCTCATTCATCGAGGCCAGGGCCCCTCCTTCAATTTTGTCTCTGCCTCCCTATGAGTGACCCAGAAGCTGACATCCCAAGTCGTCGAGGACAAGCCAGGGCCAGAGAAGGGAAGTGAAGGGTCCAAAGTCACACAGCTAGCTGGGACACAAGCCCCAGGCACCCAAACTCAGCCCAGACCTGACCATGGGAGCCCCTCTTCACCAGGATGGCCTCAGGAGATCCAAGGGCGGCACTGGTGGCTGGAAGCCAGCAGGAAACCCTCACAGTCCACACCAGGCCAGAGAGAGGGCCCAGCCCCGCTCTCCAAACCTCTGCGGCCAAAAATCCACACGCCCCAAGGCCCTGACATCTAGCCCTTCCTCCTGGCACCCTGGGCACATAGGTGGCTCCAAGGAGACCCCTCTAGAGGCCAGGATTCAATCCCAGCCCAACCAAGGGGATCCAAGAGGCAGCCAGAGGCCCAAGCGCCTGTTCCTGTGCTTCCCTGGCAAGGGCCACCAGGATGGATCCGTGGGTTCCTGGGGATCCAGAGCCCTCGGGCGTGAGCTGGCCAGCAGGCCTTACACCAAATGAGATGGTGCCAAGGGTATAAGCCCCTCTGCCTGCCCAGCCAAGGGGTGCCCTTTCCACTGTACAGCTGGGGAAACTGAGGCTGGAACAGTTTTTCTATGCTTTCTCTGGAACAAGCCCGGCACTCACCTGCTCACCGAGGCGATCTGCAGGCGTCAGGGTCCCGCGTCCCAGGGCGTCCTCCGGGCTGCGGGATGCTCTGCTCCGGGCGCCTTGCGCCCAGCTTTTAGCCGCGGGTGTGGAAGGCACTGGGGCTCCCGCCCGCCGCGGCACGCTGTCCTTTGCCCCTTGATCCGGCGCCTCCTTCTCTCCTTAGCACGTGGGTGGCAGCCGCCCCGCCGGCGGGCGGGCTGTGGCGCAGCAGTGGCCCGGGCCGTGGGCTCGCGCGCCTGCCAACCCCAGCCCGCTCGTGCGCGCTCACCTTTACCCCCCTGCGGGGCTCGGGCCCCCAAACCAGCCTGAGAACAGGAGGAGGAGCCGCGGCAACGGGGTAGAGAGAAGCCTGGCGCGGCCTCGTCGGTCCCAGTTCCTGTGTGTCCGGCCGGTTTGGCCCCGGGACCTGCTTCACCTGGAACTCAGCGCGGGGGTCGCTGCTAAGCCCCGCCCCCCATCGCTCACCCCTGCCTAGCCCATCCCCCAGCTGCCAGAATCCCACTCCTTTGAAATCCCTCTTCTTCCCCCAGAGCCCTCCACAGCGGCTGTTCAATCCCACTTGGAACTTCTCTTTCTTGGTGGTGGTGGTGGGAGTTGAGACAGGGTCCCCCCCTATGAATTCCAGGCTGGCCTTGATTCCCTATGGAGCCCAGGTAGGCCTCGAACTTGGCGCGATTCCCCTGCCTCAGCCTCCGGAGTGCTGGGATTATAGACATGTGCCACCCTGCCTAGCTATTGAAACCACTCTATCCGACCTCTTTTCCCTTCCAGAGTCCACACGTCCTCCTCCTCCTCCTCCTCCTCCTCCTCCTCTTCCTCCTCCTCCTCTTCCTCCTTGCCCCCTCCCTTGGAGTCCCTTCCCCTCCTAGCACCCTTTCCCGACCCTCAGTCCCTTCCGTGGACTCCAACCCCTTTCCAGAGCCCCCTGTCCTAGCCCCATCCTGCCTCCTTTAGCCGACCAAGCCCTGAGCCCCTTGGTCTTCGTGGTCTTAGTGCAGGCTCCTGCTGATCCTTACAACTCATTCTACAGCTATACGCGTACTCCCTTCGTGGAGCAACCCCCAGGGAGGACAGGGACAGCGACAGACCCAGACCCACCATAGTGGCCCAGGAGGAGATTCCAAGCCATGAAATAGTGCCTGGCTTCAGAGTCAGCTGCCTGGGAGGAGCTCTGCCCCTGCCTCTGGAGGTGGGCTACAGAGGGAGTGTGGAGGGTGTGGAGCTCGCGGTGACATGAGTCTCCTACGGAGCACAGGAGCAGGCTTTGAAAGGATAGCACCCGCTTGAGCTTCAGTTCCTGCTGCCTCACTCAGGTGCTCATGGGAAGAGGGGCAGAGGGGGGACCCTCTTCCGGCCCCTACTCTCTCCCAGCCCTCCTGTCCTTGGAGAGTGTCACCTCATACCACTCTTCCTGTGGGGACTTGGACAGACACAGGTTCCCAGGCAGAGAAGGACACCAGAGTGTCCGTGTCCGTGTGTGTGTGTGTGTGTGTGTGTGTGTGTGAGAGAGAGAGAGAGAGAGAGAGAGAGACAGACAGACAGACATACAGAGACAGACAGACAGACAGACAGAGACAGAGACAGAGAGACAGAGACAGACAGAGACAGAGACAGACAGAGAAAGAGACAGAGACAGAGAGACAAAAAGGAACCTTGAACCAGGACGCAAGCAGCCTGGGGTGTAGCCCTCCCTGATCCTGCCCTTGACTGACTATCACACGGAAAGGTACTTTTGTCACTATGCCATTGCCCACAGCCTTAGTTTCCCCATAATAAGATTGCCAGATTTAGCAAATAAAATCCAAGATGTTTAGTTAAATTTCAACTTAAGATAAACTATGATTTTTGGGGGGTGTATCAGTATGTTTCATGCAATATTTGGGGTACACTTTAATAAAGATCATTTACAATGCTTATCTAAAATGTTGATAACCTATCTGAGATTCCAGGATTGACCCTACCATAGGTAAAACAGCAACAGCAGCAGGGGCTGGGACAAGATGGTTTTTCTCAGGGTCCCTCTTACTCCAGCTCTACCCAGTAAAAAGAAACTAACAGGATATAGTGGCCTCGCCTATAATCCCAGCACTCTGGGAGGCTGAGGCAGGAGGACTGCAAATTCAAGATCAGCAATTTAGTTAGACTGTCAAAATAAAAAGGAAGGACTAGGGACACAGCATAGAGCAAAGGCCCTGAGTACACCCCTTGGTACCACAGGGGGACAAATCCTTACCTGAGGGTCACAGGGCCCTCATGTGGGAGGGGAGACGCTTCCAGAAGCAGCCCGATCCTGGACGGCTTCCTGAAGAAAGAAGATTCTCATGGTTGCCTGGAGGCCCGGATAAAGTGTGGGTGGGGTGGATGGAGGGTGGCTCCTGGTGGGTAGTTTCCCTGCGTTTAGGGAAACTGGGGAGGTGTGTCCCACAAGGAAGGGTCCCCAGGTCAGCAGAAAGTGGCACATAAAGATACTAGAGTCAGGGAAGGTTGTCACATCAACTCAGCACAACGCGATGCAGTCGCCTGGTCTGCCGAACACCTAGCACATGCCTGGTCCCCCCCCCGCACACGTTAAGCCCTTTCTGTGGGTTAGTTCATGCAGTTCCTTCCGCAGCCAGCAGAGGGAGGGTGTCTCCTCCCCATTTCACAGATAAGAGCAGAAGGCTGGGAAGTTAGGTGACTGCAGGTGGCAGAGCTGGAACTGGAGTGCAGGTGGCCTGACCATCCCTATTATGTAGTACATCCTGTGCTGCCGGCAAAAGCTGGGCAGAGGAACCTGGCTCACTCTCACAGGGACCTCTAGTCTCACGGGAGTGAAGGCCAGTCCTGAATGACGTAAGTGCAAACTGGGTGTGGCACACACCTGTAATCCCAGCACACTTTGAGGCTGAAGCAAAAGGGCTACAAATCTGAGACCAGTCTGGGCAGTTTAGCAGACCCTGTCTCACACTTAAAAAACATTTTCAAGAGGAAAGGTGTGGTGGTGCATGCCTGTAATCCCAACACTTGGGAAGCTGAGGCAGGAGGATCTCCACAAGTTTGAGAGCAACCTGGGCTACACAGTGAATTCAAGGCCATCCTGGACTACATAGTAAGATGCTGTCTAAAATAATTTTTTTAATTAAATAAAGGGCTGGAGATATAGCTCAGTGAGAAAGCCCTGGGGCCAGGGAGATGGCTCAGTGGAATATGTGCTTCCCTGGCAAGCACAAGGGTCTGAGTTCAATCCCTGGTTCGGC